GCAAAGGTGCACTCAACTGTCAATTTCAAGTCTGTCACTTCCTTTTCTAAGTGTCAATTTACAAGTGGCAACGATTTGGCAGATTTAGGCACTGAAGTCCCCTAAACAAACACAATACATGTGAATGTACTTAATGCCACTGAAACTATACACTTAAAAGTGGTTGTGATTGGGGGGCCCTGGCTGGCTCATTTGGTAGATTATGCGACTCTTGATCTCAGGGTTGTGAGTTTGAGCCCCATATTGGCTGTGGAGATTACTTAAATAAATATTTTTTAAAAATGGTTGTGATGATAAATTTTTTGTTATATAGTTCTACTATAATAAAAACATTTTTTTAAGTAGTATACAAAATTAGGGAGAGTCATCTCCAAATCCATAATGCTGCATTTATCAGATTATGTTGAATGATGGAGTAAAGACCAAAGTTAAAATGTTTAGAAAGTGACAGGAGAGCAATTTTACCTTCACATGTAACCATGGAACTAGCCTTGGTTGGGAGAAAGAATTCACTTCCCATATCACATGGGCAATTTTGTCTTCCTAGCAACTGGAGAGTTTTCTTTCAGAATTATGACTCACTCTTTGGAGGAAAGTTCCTTATCACAATATGGTAGTCGAGGTATTTCCACTAACTGGAATACTCATGACATATTTAATACATTAAAACCTTTTTTAAAAAAATCCATTTCACATTTTAAAAATTTGTTCTAAACTTCAGAAATAATTTTAAAAGGGCACATACTGCCAAAGACTACTTTTAATTATAGTAATAAGCAAGGAATTAATAGGGGGTATTCAGTCAAATGGAAGAAAATGCTTCCACTTGGCCTTACTTCCACATTTCATTCCTCACTAAGCCCAAACTATATTCTAATACAATACAATCAATTTACTCATGACAAGGTAATAATTAATTTGTAGTCCTAGCAAAATGGGTCTGGTGATTTTTTTGACTTGCACCTCCTTTGGTTGAGAACATTGCATTAAATAACTGTATGGCAAATAAAATGACTTGGCAGGCCCACACAGCGAAGGAAGTATTTTCAATAGCAAGTTGCCTTTATATGGGCATATTTCTACATTCTAAAATAATGTCTCCATTATCTTGGTTAGAGTTAAACTCTTTAAATCTATAAGAAATATGTGATGAAGGAGTGTGTGTGATGATTCACAGATCTGAAATAACACCTACTCTCCTTTGGTTCTGGCACAAAATGTGTCAGTGAAGCCTGCAATTAAGAAAATTATCTTGGCCTGTCTTGCCACAGGGATGGTGACATCAATACACACACAACCAGAACACAAATGTGTTAGAAAGATTGAGTTTAGAAAACAATTCTACCCCAGCACTGCTTGGTGCCTTGGTGCCTTTGCAATGTCCTCCAGATCTTTGTCATTAATAACACTAATAATATCGACTGAATACTGTAATTTTGCTTTTTTTTTTTTTTTTTTTGTCTTCACAACATATTGTTTCTTTTAGTCTTTCTTTAGTCTTCTGTTCATCTTCTACCTATTTAGGAGATGGTACCATTATGGCTCCTATTTTACAGATTAAGAGGTTGAATAAGTAGCCCAAGATCATAAAGCTAGCTACTGGTGGAGCTTGGATTTGAACCAAATCCTCTAAGAGAGATTTAGAGGTTCTCTCTCTTCACCAGAACTGGTTACATAATTTGAAGAGCCCAGTATAAAATGAAAATGTGGGGTCCCTGTTCAAAAATTGTTAATAATTTCAAAATGGTGACAGCAGGGCATCAAACCAAGTGTGGAGTCCTTGTAAACACAGGTTACATACCCATGAAGCTTGCCCTCCTCTTAACCATATCACTTTCCTCCATCATGTCCTTTGTCTCCATACCTCAGCCTAATTCACTACCTATTTGTTCCAAACCACAAGTCCACTGTAAGGGGTCTTGCAGAGATTCATGAGAGACACATATCCAGTCTGGAGACAAACAACACGTATTTCTCAGTCAATTCTTTTACTTGCTGAGATCTCACATTATGCTCAACAGCAGAAAATATCCCATAATTTTCTAAGTTTTGAAGATCAAGCCTTCTCTTTGGTTGGTCTCTAAAACCTCCCTTTTAGTCTGTTTCTCTCTTTAAAAAAGTCACTTTGCCATTTCCCACTGCAATTTTAAGCATATAACATCATGGTGTCATGCACTGCTTTTTCCCACTGTGATTATTTGCAGCTGCTTCAACCTAATGATGGGAAAAGGCCTCAGATCCTTATAATTGTAGGGTCCTGATTAATGAACACTTTACCTCTCTGGATCTTCTTTTGAAGATCTTTCCAAACCTTTCACTTGGCACCTTCATTCAAATGGAATGTCTGGAGCTTGGTGGATGGCATGTTTTCGTGTAAACCTTCTACTGTCCAGCACACATCCTGAGAACAAAGGAAGTCTGTTTGCAGTGTGTATGGAGGAATTGGGACATGCACTTTACATTTTCAGGAACAGCAGTGGGTTGTGTGTGTTTATCTAGGATGGGTAGAGTTTGGAGGTGGAAGGCTAGAAGACAGAGAAAGCATGATCTCCGCCCCTGGCAAACATATCCACCTAATTTGATGTCTAACCCCAGACTCTCCCATCCTCACATAACTTCACTATGATTTCCTTTTCCACAAGAAATCTTGGCTGTTCCTATCCTTAATTTTTCTCTAATATGGGGTAAGGCAGATGGAAGCAGCCCCCAACTGAGATTCTTCATACTTTAAGATTTAAATGTGGACTCCTGAGATTGATGCCTCCCTACCGCTTATGCCTAAGATTGGATGAGATTGTAGACAATTTGTGAATTTGCCATGGAAAAGATAAGGCACGATCAAACATCTAGAACAGTAGTTGTTAGGGTGCCTCAATGGCTCAGTCAGTTAAGCATCTGACTTCAGCTCAGGTCATGATCTTGTGTTTCTCTCTCTCTCCCTCTCACCCTGCTCCTCCCTCTCCCTTTCTCTCAAAGTAAATAAATAAACTCAAAAAAATAGAACGGTAGTTGTCAATCGTAAAAGACCCCTATCCCTTTTTATAACGAAACACTTCCTTCACTGTCCTGAAATGAAATTCATCTGTGATACAACCTACCATCACACAGAAAAACCTTCTTAAAATTAACATAAATGTTCTATGTGCGACATAAAGAAGAAATAAAATTAGAGTTAGGGTCTATGTTCAAATAACTATAAATAGGTTTTTCACCCACATCATTGCCCTGAAGGACATGTGAAAGACAGGCAGGATAATCTCTTTGTTCTATGGAACTGTCCCACACATCTGTCAATCCTGGCTCCTAGCCACCAAATACCAGTTAGCATGCCTTCACATTCAATCAAAAATGTACCCATGATTCCCAGAACACCTCCTAAATGATGGGACTGTCCCTGTAGAGAACCACTGTTGTGACTAGAAGTGCCTGTATATTGGGTTCCTTTGGATTCTCCCTTGGTTAGGATTTCCAGCTAACAGGGCAAGCTATACTTGCCATTCTCCCAGGCTAAGAGTTCTAGGGCTTGGCAAGCCTGAATTTCGACCAACGTGCATCTTCGACTTGTACACAACTATTTTTAGGCCACTAGTTTTAATATAGTGCACATACACACTCCATAGTCACCAAGGTCTCTGACCATGTTGGGATGAGCACTGGGTGTTGTATGGAAACCAATTTGACAATAAATTTCATATTAAAAAAAAAAAAAGGAAATGTTCAAGCAACAACAACAAAGAGAAATGTTTAAATAATTGGTATAATACATATATCTTTTGAATAATTGTTTATAATAAAGAAATTGATATCAAAAAAAAGAATAACAAGGCTTTGGTCAGGGAGGGGCCATACTACGTATATAAAGTGAAGGAGAAAGAACATTTATTTTGTGCCATATTTAAAATCTAGGGAGAGGACAATGATGAGTTTGTCAATGTGGTAGGTTGCTAAGAAAGGCTGGTTGGCCTTGTACCTTGGTTCTCTCTGACCCTGAGCTCGGATTAAAGGAAGCATTATAAACACTTTTTCCCTGGCCACAGACAGGTACTAATATTTACCTTGTTTCTGCCTGCTGACTACAAAATTGGAGGCAAACAGGGACCCAAAAGAAATAAGAGTCCTCTCACCATCATGCCTCTTGATATACACTCCTAATGAGGATTCCAAACATTTATCAGGCACTTATAAAGATGCTGAGTTCTGGCCAAAAAGAAAAAGGAAAAACAAAATAAAACAAAAAAAAAACAGCGTATGTTTGTGGAAACTTCTGTGAGTCACTCTCTAGCATTTACCAGAGGACAGTGTTTTGCTGCCAGAATAAACTAATATTTGAATAGAAGATGAATTCTAAACAATCTAAGGGAAAACTTAAGTAACAAAATCCCTCTTCACCATGACCTATGACATAATATTTGCCCCTCTTCAATTATTCTCATCCAACATGTTTACTAACAACCCCATGCCTGGTTTCTGGACTGTACAGTTCTTACGTGGGCCATTAAGAATTAAGTGTGTTAGGGGCGCCTGGGTGACTCAGTCGGTTGAGTGTCTGACTCTTGATTTCAGCTCAGGTCATGATCTTTCGCGCCACGAGTTCGAGCCCTGTACCGGGCTGTGCATTGACAGTAGGAGCCTGCTTGGGACTCTCTCTCTCCCTGTCTCTCCCACTTGAATGTGTGCACCCTCTCTCAAAATAAATAAATGAACTTAAAAGAAAAAAAAAAAAGAGGGGCGCTTGCATGGCTCACTCGGTTGAACGTCCAACTTCAGCTCAGGTCATGATCTCACATCCGTGAGTTGGAGCCCCACGTCAGGCTCTGTGCTGACAGCTCAGAGCCGGGAGCCTGCTTTAGATTCTGTGTCTCCCTCTCTCTCTGCCCCTCCCCTGCTCATGCTTTGTCTCTCTCTGTCTCTGAATAAACGTTTAAAAATTTTTTTTAAAAAATCATGTATGATAAATCAGTGGATAGAAGAGAAAAAACATTCCAAATGGGGACAGGCACCTGGGTGGCTCAGTCAGTTAAGCATCTGACTAATTTTGGCTCAGGTCATGATCTCAAGGCTGGTGAGATGGAGCCCCACTTCAGGCTTCTTCTGATTCTCTTTCTCCCTCTCTCTCTGCTCCTCCCCTGCTTGCAAGTGCTCTCTTTCTCTCTCTCTCAAAACAAATAAACTTAAAAAAAATAAAAGCAAGAAAGAAATAATTTCTAAAAATGGGGGAACAATTCATTCATGCATGCATGCATTCTTTTTTTACTCAGGTTAAATTCATTTACATTACATTACATGTGCCCTCAGCTCCCTTGACCCCTGTGACACTTCGAGACATTCACTTGATTAAACAATGACCCTTGGGGCTCCCGCATGGCTCAATCATTTGAGCGTCTGACTCTTGACTTTGGCTCAGGTCATGATCCCAGGGTCATGGGATCAAGCCCTGAGTCAGGCTCTGCACTTAGCGTGGAGCCTGCTTAAGATTCTCTCTCTTCCTCTGCTCCTCGGTCCCTCTCCCCTGCTCACATGCTCTCTCTCTCTTTCTCTCTCTCAAAAACAAAAACAAAAATTAATGACCCTTATTAAAGGTACTGTTTCCCATAGTGCCTTCTGTGCATGTTAAATGTGGCTGTCAAAGAACCAAACTATGGTGAAAGATCCCACTTGAATTATGATCATAAATCTCAAATAGACCCTTAATGCTGCCAGCAATCAAACTGTTTCCCTGGTCCTTTTAGTCTCCCACTCACCCAGGATATATTTTATACCTTCTCTGTTCTGCAAACCTCACATACCCACTCACCGCCCATTTTCATTCCCTGTCGATGGCCTTGCTTTTGATTTCACTAAGAAAATAGAATGAATCAGAAGAGAGCCCCCACAAACACCCACTACCCGCATCAGTGCCACATCCTGGGTTTCTTTCCTATGGAAGTAAGCACTTTGTGCCCCTAGAAAAGGCCACTTTCTCTACTTGTACACTAGATACCACTTACTCTCATCTACTCAAGGAGATCACTCTAGTAATTATCTTCTCAATTCTTTCTTTTTACTGGATCTTTTCCATCAACTTACAGACATTATTTCTCCCACCTTTGAAAAACCTTCTCTTAACCCCAACTTCTTCCTCCAGCTACTACTCTCATTTCTTTTTTCCTACAGGTTGTCTATATTCACCACCTCTAATATCTTCCCATTTTCTCTTAAACCTAATCCAATCAGATATTTATCCAATCTGCTTCAATTAAACTGCCCTTATCAAGGTCACCTTGACTTCCCTGTGGCTATAGCCAATGGCCAAGTCTCCATCTTCACCTTAATTGATCAATGAGCAGAATATGATCACTCTCTCATTCTTGAGTCACTTTTCCACCTGGCTTTGGAAGCAGACTTAACCTAGTTTTCCTCTTATCTCCCTGGCAGTTCTTTCCAGTCTTCTTTGTTAGATTCTCTTCATCTTTCTGATATCCAAAACTTGAAGTATTCCAAGATCCAGTCCTTGGACCTCTTCCCCTTTCTATCTTCACTCACTTATTTGGTCTCATCCAGTCTCATGGCTTTAAATACCATGTATTGTAGCTGTGTCCAGCTTGCATTCCCTGAACTCCAGGCTCACATATCCAGCTGCCTCTTTAATATCTCCACTGGGATGATTAATAGACATCTCAAATTTAACAAGTCCAAAACTGAACTCATGATATCTTCCTGCCACCCTACCACCAAATGGTTTCTCTTCTACTCTTCCCCAGTTTCTCAAGCCAAAACCTTGAGGTCATCCTTGATGCCTCTCTTTCTGTCACACTCCAGATCTGATCTGTCAGCTTAACCTTCAACATGTGTCCAGAATGTGGCCACTTCTCACTATTTCTACTACTACCACTGCTATCACTCACCTAAATTAGTTGCAGGAGCTTCCCAACTGTCTCCAGCTTCCATCTTTGACACTATTCAGACCCTACTCAGCGCAGAAGCCAGAGTGATACTGATAAAACACAAATCAAAGAGGGTCACTCCTCTGCTCAAAAACACTCCAATGATATTTTTAGTAAAATCTTAATTCCTAAAACTCCTTTAAAGTCCTACATGCTTTGTTTCCTGCTCATTCCCTCTCCAACTTCATCCCTTGCTTTTTTCTTCTTTGCCTGCCTCATTCAGGCAGCATTCTCCCCATCTTTTGCTGTTCCTTGGCCTTTCCAGGGACCCCCAGACCTTTGTATTCACTGTTCCTGGGATGTTCTTCCTTCAGACATGACTCGTTCATCTCCCTTCCTCAGATGTTACCTTCTCAGTGAGCCCTTCCCTGTTTACCCTCTGTGATTGTCCATTTATGTATCAACTTGACTAGACCCCAGGATGCCCAGGCGTTTGGTCACATGTTATTCCGGATGTATCTGTGAGGATGGTTCTGAATGAGATGAACATCTGAGTCAGTAGATTGACTAAGCAGACTGGCCTACCAAATATGGAGGGGCCTCATCCTATTAATTAAAGACCTGAATAGAACAAAAATGCTGGAGTAACAAGGAACTTTGCCTGCCTGACTGTGGAACTTGTCTTCTGCCCTTGGACTGGAACTTGCATCATCAGCTCTCCTGATTCTCAGGCTTTCAGACTCAGGCTGGAACTATACTACTGGTCTGCTACATCTCCAGCTTGCCAACTGCAGATCTTGGAACTTCTCTGCCCCATAATCATGTGAGCCAATTCCTTATAATAAAATTATATATATATATATATATATATATATATATATATATATATATACACACACATACATACACACATACACATATATATACACAAATCATGACTCCCAGCCCTTCCACCATGTGAGGCCCCAGCTATGAACCAGGAGTAGGCCCTCACCATCCCACCACCACCACTCTCCCCACTGAATCTGCAGATTCCTCATCTTAGACTTCCAGCCTCCAGAACTGTGAGAAATAAATCTCCATTGTTTATAAGATAAAAATAAAACAAAATAAAATTGCAACCCCTAAGTACCTCCCTGTTTTATTTTTTTCCTGTAAAATTTATTGCCATCTACCAAAACATAGATTTATTTTACTTACCCTCCCCACTTTTTTTTTCTTATATCTACCAACCAGAATATGAGTTCCACAAGGGAAGGGTTTATGTCACCTTCATTCACTGCTGTATCCTAGCACCTAGAAGAGTACCTGAGATATATGGAGTATTGGATAACTATTTATTGAATGAATGAATGCCTAACCTATGCAAAACATCAGCTTTAGGTAGTAGTGAAATAGAGATGAATAAAGTTAAATTACTTAATGTTATACTTCAGGTTCCTCATTTATAAAATGGGGGTAATAATATACCTCATGGGACAGTTATGGGAATGAAATGACTGAATATTTATGGAATGTTTGGAATAGTGCTCAGTATAGTACTAAAGTAAGTCCAATATTAAGTAAACTAAATTTTCATATATATTTATATCCCTGCCCTCAAGAAGCTTGCATATAACAGAAAGGACATCTACAAAAACTACAGAGTGTGCAATGGTAGCACGAAGGTGGGAAGGGTCAATATACCCTTAGGGTCAAGGAAGCCTTCACAGAGAAAGTGATATTTAATATGAATCTTGGAGAATAAAGAGGTGTTTACTAGGTCAACAAGAAAGGCATTCCAACCTGTGGATATAGAATAAATGTTTGAACCAGGTGGTTCAGAAGTAAGAATAAATCTGACCTCCCACCTTCCAGGAAGTAATGATCCAGGGTTGTCTCAATAAATATAGCTTGTTTTTCCTACTTTATACTTTAATTTGTCTTATGTAAGGGAAGGCACTGGAAACACTAAATATTAAGTTGTGGTCATTTCATTGTGTGGCAGAGAAAGTTTTGGAGATTATTACACCCTGGGGAAATGTTTGCCCCAATCTGCTTAATGTACTTGATGAAAAGAATCTGCTTAACTCTAAATCACCTTAATATTCTTGAAAGAATCTTCAGGTTTCTTACAGTAATTAATATGTCTATCATCTTATCTGCTGATAATGATCACAGGTAACCATTTTGCTTAAGTGTTACATTAGGATCATTTGTTTAAAAAGCACTCTGATTTCAATTTTACCATGTTTTATTCACTTATTTCATTAATTAACTAAAATTAGGCTGTATTTATTATTACAATGTCAGAGTATTATTAGTAATTATTTTAAAAATAAAACAACCTTAGTGTCTATTAAATTATCTCCCAAGAGACAAGATTACATCACATACCTTTGATAAAGTCCTTTTTAAAAGAAAAAGATTTTATTTTTGAGTAATCGCTATCCCCAACATGAGGCTCAAACCCACAACCTCAAGATCAAGAGTCATACCCTCTGACTGAGCCAGCCAGGGATAAGCTGACTGAGCCAGCTTAATCTTTGATTAAGCCCTTTTAAGTGAATGATCTAGAAATCAGTGAAGAAGGACCTCTGGAAGGGCAAGGAAATGCATTTACCTCTGAAGCCTCTAGGAAAAATACAGCATTGCTGACACTTCGATTCCAGCCCAGTAAGACTCATTGTGGACTCCTGACCTCCAGAACTGCAAGAGAACAAATTTGCACTATTCAAAGCCATTGGGAAGAGTGATAATTCATCGTAGCACCAAAAGGAAATTAATACTGAGTCTGAGGCATCTGTATTTGTTAGAATTAGGTTCAGCTATAAGGAGTAGAACTCCCTAAATATCAGTAGCTTGAACAAGGTATACTTGAGCAAGTTATGATCTCTCATAAGTCCAGATTCAACAATCCAAGACTTATATAGCAAATCCACCATTACCAGATACCCAGGCTTCCTCTATCTTGTTCTGCCATCCTCAACACATGGTTTCAACATCATGGTTCAAGATAGCTGCTTAATCTCCAGCCATCACATACACCTTCTAACCAAAAGGGAGAGAGAAAATAGAGGAAAGCATGCCTTTTCTATATAAAAAACAAAGTTATTGAAAATTGTACACACCATTCAGCTTGTATCTCATAGACAAGTACTTGGCAATATGGCCACACCTAGTTTTAAAGGAAGCTA